CTCTATGAACCCTCTGGCCCTAACTCTGTGGACCCAAAAGTCCTAACTCTGTGGAGCCGAAGGTCCTAACTCTGAATCATGCATAACACATAATAAATCATAGCACATAAATAACATGCAATTACTCTGGCATATAACTCTAAAATACTCTATCACATAACTCTGTTACCACACTAGGTAAAGTATAGTGAGAAGACTCACCTCAGGCGTCTCAGTAAATCTCTGACTCGGTAGAAATATTGCCTAGTCTTCGCCTATTCACATAAAGAAAATACTCTTATAAATATAACTCTCGAGACTAGACTCAACCTGCCATTGGCACCCTCAGGAGGGAAAAAGGCTAATTTACCCCCCTCTCGACACAAGTACTCCATTGACCAAACCCTAAAAGTCAACGGTCACACTTTGACCCTACTCGCCGAGTGCACCCTGGTGACTCGGCGAGTTCACACATGTTCTTTAACACTTTGCCCCGCTTGGCATGCCGAGTCCCTCCCTATGCTTGACGAGTCATACTAGACATGAAACGCGGGGCCACCACGACTGAACTCGCCGAGTCTCAAGAACAACTCGGCGAGTACCGCCTTGAACTCCAGTCCTCTAACTCCCTTCTGACTCACTGAGTCATTCCACAACTCAGCAAGTCTACTCACTGAGCAATTTACGTGAAACCCTAACCCAACTCGCCGAGTCTCAGGAACAACTCGGCGAGTTCATGCCATGCACAAACTCTATTGGCCTCCTAAGGTCAGATTTGTTTCCCTAAATCAAAGATCTGGCCTTCCCAAGCATGAATGTTACGTAAAGCTCGAAACTTGATGCTTGTATAACAACAAGGCATCAAAAGGAGATTTAGTCCCAAAAATGGCAACCTAAGTCCAATAACCCCAAACTGATTCATAAAGCTCGAAGGGTTGAGGTCTCTAGACCTCTTTGAGTCCAGATCCAAGGCACAAACTCAAAGAGGGACCATTTGCTCCACATAATCACTCTCCAAAGGGGTTAGAAAACCCTAACTCTAATGATCAACACCAAACTGAAGGAGGTTAGAACTATTACCTCAAAATGAAGTCTCTGAATCTTTGGAACTGTTAAAATCGCACCTCCCCTTTGCTCTTGTGCACCTCCTTGTTGTCAAATCAAAGGTATAAGGATCAAAAGTGACTTCTTCTTCCTCACAACAATTTGGCTCACTTAGGGTTCTCTCAATGGATTGGTAGCCGCAATGAGAGGCTATAAGTGCCCTTAAATAGGCTCCAAACCCAGGGATTTAGGGTTTCACTTAACAGCGTGGACTCGTCGAGTCCAAAGTGAATCCGGATGAACAATCACGACCCTACTCGGCGAGTCTGCGCATCAACTCGCTGAGTTCCTTCTCATAATTCAAAATAAATATATAAAATAATATACCTGGAAACCTGGCTATTACAGAGGTTGGCCAGAGGAGTCAAACTTGAGCATCATCTACAGTTCTTGGAAGGTATAAAGTCGACACCTTGATCCTTCTTGTATTAGATCCCTTTTTGGGGAGATTTAGGGATTTTATAAGCCATTCTTGGTGACCAACCATGATTGCAAGTATGGTTGGGGTTGAGGCTTCAGATCCATGTTCCTTAAGGAGTTAGAAGGCAGAAAAGGATTGCCTTTGCACCCATGGAAAGCCCCATGCAACTCAAGAGCTTCTTTTAGGGTCTTTTTAGCTCATAGTCCCATGCATGCACATAAAGTTCATAACTTTATGTGCTAGATCGATCTTAGGAGCCTAGATCTATCATTTGGACAAGTGTTGTACATCAGAAATCAAGAAATGAGACTTGGACAACCTTGACTCGGCGAGTCCGAGGCTTGACTCCCCTTTTCTGTTAAGGTTCAAAGGAACCCAGTTGAGTGTTAGAAGGGTTTTAGAGGGTCCAAGGGAGTGACCCAACGTATTGGACATAGCCATATGCCTGGAGTTCATAGGACTCGACGAGTGCATGAGCAGACTCGGTGAGCCCAAGGCAATCTCCCAACTTTTGAAGATGAACTTGATGAGTTGTTCATACAACTCGGTGAGTCAAGGACATGACTTGTTTGTAGGATGAGGATGAACTCGACGAGTTGTTCATACAACTCGACAAGTAGGATGAAGGTTCATTCGAGGTTGTTTTAGAAGGAGAACTTGTCGAGTCATTGCTAAATTCGACGAGTAGAAGCGTGGAGAAGGACATATGAAAGGTAGGGACTCGACGAGCTAGAGGCCCAACTTGGCGAATCAGGTCAATTAGAAGTTGACTTTGACTTTGACTTTGACTTGGTCAGGGGTAAAATAGTCATTTTACCCTAAGAATAGTTATCAGTGTCTGACTAAGTGTTTTATGGGATTTATAGTCGGAGGATCACCGGAGCAGCAGTCGGACATCTGTCGATCAGCTTTTCAGTAGTCAGCCTTACGAGGTGAGTTACCTTCCAGTAGGGGTGGGTCTAGGGCACCAATGTTGGCAGTAGGTGATTATGGGTGAGATGGTTATCTTTGTGATAATTGTCTGGTTGATATATTTGTGTCGAGTATGTGTTAATAGTAGTAGAGTGTGCTAGCCCTTGGTTACCGGTTGAAAGATACCGAAGACGATTACTGATTGAAAGATACCGAAGGGGTGGACAAAACCCACACATGTATAGTTGTATGCTTATGATATGTCATTATGTGACTTAGTATGCCTGTGTATGTTATCATGAAACCAATATGTTATGACATGTAATATGTGATAGGGGTAGGGGTGAAATAGTCCCTAGATACCGGTTGAAAGATACATAAGGGGAGGTTAGTTCCCGGATACCAGTTGAAAGATACCAAAAGGGAGGGTAGCTCCTGGTTTCCGGTTGAAAGATACCAAAGGGGAGGGTAGCTCCCGGTTTCCGGTTGAAAGATACCGAAGGGGAGGGTAGCTCCCGGTTGCCGGTTGAAAGATACCGATGATTATGTGTTATGGGTATGGTGGGGAACTCACTAAGCTTTGTGCTTACAGTTTTAGTTTTGGTTTTAGGTACCTCTTGGTCTAAGGGGAAAGAGCCGGTGGTGTAGCAGCTCATCACACACGCATGTTTTTCGCATGACTTGGGGGAACTGACTTGTTTGTAGGACGAGGATGAACTCGACGAGTTGTTCATACAACTCGACAAGTAGGATGAAGGTTCATTCGAGGTTGTTTTAGGGGACATGACTTGTTTGTAGGACGAGGATGAACTCGACGAGTTGTTCATACAACTCGACAAGTAGGATGAAGGTTCATTCGAGGTTGTTTTAGAAGGAGAACTTGTCGAGTCATTGCTAAATTCGACGAGTAGAAGCGTGGAGAAGGACATATGAAAGGTAGGGACTCGACGAGTTAGAGGCCCAACTCGGCGAGTCAGGTCAATTGGAAGTTGACTTTGACTTGGTCAGGGGTAAAATAGTCATTTTACCCTAAGAATAGTTATCAGTGTCTGACTAAGTCTTTTATGGGAATTATAGCCGGAGGATCACCGGAGCAGCAGTCGGACATCTGTCGATCAGCTTTTCAGCAGTCAGCCTTACGAGGTGAGTTACCTTCTAGTAGGGGTGGGTCTACGACACCAATGTTGGCAGTAGGTGATTATGGGTGAGATGGTTATCTTTCTGATAATTAGCTGGTTGATATATTTGTGTCGAGTATGTGTTAGTAGTAGTAGAGTGTGCTAGCCCTTGGTTACCGGTTGAAAGATACCGAAGACGATTACCGATTGAAAGATACCGAAGGGGTGGACAAAACCCACACATGTATAGTTGTATGCTTATGATATGTCATTATGTGACTCAGTATGCCTGTGTATGTTATCATGAAACCAATATGTTATGACATGTAATATGTGATAGGGGTAGGGGTGAAATAGCCCCCAGATACCGGTTGAAAGATACATAAGGGGGGGTTAGTTCCCGGATACCAGTTGAAAAATACCAAAAGGGAGGGTAGCTCCTGGTTTCCGGTTGAAAGATACCAAAGGGGAGGGTAGCTCCCGGTTTCCGGTTGAAAGATACCGAAGGGGAGGGTAGCTCCCGGTTGCCGGTTGAAAGATACCGATGATTATGTGTTATGGGTATGGTGGGGAACTCACTAAGCTTTGTGCTTACAGTTTCAGTTTTGGTTTCAGGTACCTCTTGGTCTAAGGGGAAAGAGCCGGTGGTGTAGCAGCTCATCACACACGCATGTTTTTCGCATGGAGTTTCCTGGGAGTGTACTCTGATTTATTTTACTTTTGACAAAGTGGTTTTTATGGTGACATGTTTTGGATTATTGACATATTGATTGTGACTTGAGATATCATTATGAATTTTTTTATATCGATGGTTTTTATGTTATAATTTATTTAAAAACAAATTTTTTGGCCTTGAATTTTAGGATGTTACAAAATAATTGGCAACTTATTATATTTTTTGAATTTGTAGGATTGTATTGGTGCCATCGATGGAACACACGTGAAGGCCTTTGTTCCGCAACGTGACCAAATCAAATACATTGGACGAAAGAATTGTGTTACTCAAAATATTATGGCAACATGTGATTTCAACATGTGCTTTACCTTTGCGTGGGCTGGAGAGAGGGGACTGCACATGACACGAGAATTTTCAATGATGCGCGAAGGAGACGTAAAGTTAAGTTTCCACTTCCAGCCGATGGTTAGTATCATTACTTATTAATAGAAGTTTTATATTTTCAAACCACATAAATGAATAACAATTTTTTTTTTTTTTTTTTTTTTTTACTTCTATAGGTAAGTTTTACCTTGTAGAAGTCGAATATCCTAATACAAAAGGTTATCTTGCTCCCTACAAAGGTTCAAACATCCGTTATCACATTCCTGATTTTCGACGTGGATAGACTCGTGCCTCGCGGGAACCAAAAAGCTTCAAAGAAAAATTTAACTACTATCATTCGTCACTTCGCAATGTAATTGAACGAACTTTTGGAGTCTGGAAGGCTCGGTGTGTGTTACTAAGAGATATGCATGTAAATTTCAACTTCGAGACCCAAGTAAAAATTGTGCTAGCTTCAATGGCAATTCACAATTACATTAGAATAAGCGGTAGTGGTGATGCAACATTTCAAATAACGCAAGAAGAATCTTATATTCCACGCAATAATGAAGAACCCGATGATGATATTGAACCACATGACGAAGTATCAAGTACACGACGCAGAAGTGACGATATCTATATGAGTGCAGTACGCGATATGATTGCGAGCCAAATATTCTCAATGTCAAACGCTCGTGCACGTAATGACGTATGATTTGTTTTGAAACGATTTTTATGATTTAATGTAGTAGCATAAAACTATTTTGGTTAGTATGTTTGATATTTTGGATAATATGTTGGATAATATAGATTTGGAATGAAATTTGTGGTTTCATATAAATAAAAAAAATGTTTTTTTAGGTAAAAATAGGTGTAAAAATAATGTGCAAAATGTTTTTTTAGTTATTATGAATAAAAAAAATATTATTATTATTATTTAAAAAACAAAAATGTTTTGTTTGAATAAGAAAATTATGTTAAAATATAAGAGGAAGTCTTATTTTTTTTATTTTTTTTTATCTCATTTTACTCGTATTAACTGTTTTGTTTATCAAATATTTATTGTTTATTATTTATTTCTACTACAATAAGATAATCCAAACATTTTTTAAAAAGCTATTTATTTCCACCACAATAAATAATACAATAAGTAAACAAGCTAAAAACTTATTTATCCAAACACCCTCTTAATATTATATGACACTAAGAATTTGTCTTGATTACATTTGGAAAATTCAGGTGTCGATGTTTAATGTAGATGCTGATACTCAAGAAAACGAGATCACCTACAAGTAACTCGCATCAACATTCATCCAATCATAAATAACCCAATTGCCCAACAAGACCAACGACGTCGTTTCTAGAAACCTGCCAATTTGCCATCATTTCTTCTTTTTTTTTTTTTTCTATCCACCCGACCATCGGGTACGGCAAATCTCCCACGACTCTAGCAACAAATCATACTTTTGCCCCCCAAAAAAGATAGAGTTGTTGGTGTCCGATTCCTCAACCCTCATCATCAACAACACTGGTTATACCCTCTTCATTCTCTTCACCCATTTAACATCAAAGTTCCAGTATCCCACAGTTCGATTGTTTCAGATGCATTTACTGAAAGAAATGGATCTGAAATTATAAGTGAAACCCCACTTCGCCATAGAGATGACAGGCCTAATTCTCCATCAAACACCAGTATTGGTGTCATCAAATACAAGACCGAAGCTTCCTTTATTGGTTTCTCCAGATTCTTCGCGTTTCTTTGCTGATTTATCCACAAGAACGACATGTTCGTCCTCTTCATCGTCATCATGTAAGTTTTCTCTTGCATTTCAGTTCTCAAAATTTCATGGTTTCTGCTACAGCCTGCTTAATTTCTCTTAATTTTGTATAAAATCAACAGATATTTAGTTGCGTATCCGTAATTCACTCTTGAATTCGTGAGTGTACTTTATTATTCTGGGGTTTTATCTAGTTTGAGAATTTCGAGGGTTTATTTTGGTTGGAACTCAAACGAGAAAACGATTCCATTATGAAGATGAATGCTGTTAAAATAAAAGGAAACGCATAAAATTAATGGAATTTTGTTCTTTATACAGTTGAAAGAAGAGATATATTGAAACCACACTTGCGAGGCAACAGAGTTACAGCAAATGCATTTAATGTTGGTGCTAGTTCTGGTGGATATGCAGAGAGAGATGGAAATGATAACCAAAATCTGTCTACTAATGATCAAACCAATGAAAGTTCACCAATGTGAGTTCTCTTCTGAATTTTGATTATATTGCTTTATGGGTTTTTTAGGTGATTCAGTTATGGGGAAGAAATGAGCTTTGGGATTGAATCTTTTCTTGTAAAGATTGGATTTTTTTTTTTCTTGCTTATTAAGTTGGGAAATGGGAATGATTGTTATCTATACACCAATTTGAAGATGAGTGATATAATCCAAATGTTATTGGATAAGCCCTGAAAGCATAATTTAAGATAGTGTTGGTAATGATGGAATTGGGGAAGGAATGGAATAGTTCATTCCATAGGAATGGGAACAACTTGTTTGTTTTACCTGATGGTAGAGGGTGTTTTTTTTTTTTTTTTTTTTTTCATTCCATAAAAAAGTGCAATAATTGAATTTTATTTATATATTGTTTAATGAGAAAGGATTTTTTTTAAAGTTTTTTTATTATTTTAATTTGATTAAAATTTCATTTTGTTGAATTAACGAAAAAATATAAAAATTTGAAATTATTTGGGTTATGATGTTGATTTTTTATTGTACAAAAACTTCATTAATCATAACTGAAGTAATGAATAGAATAGAGTTGAATTTATGTACTGATTTTGTGTGTAATCATAGTTGTCGACTCGTGACTTGAAATGGAAATTTTCAACTCGTGACTTGACTCGTAAGGGTCATGATATATATATATATATATATATATATATATATATATATATATATATATATATATATATATATATAGGGAAGAGTTATATGGAAAATGAATGATTAGGGCAACACATATTTGAACCAATGAAAACATGACAACACATCACTTCCACAATAACTGCCACAATACATTACTTGTGAAGAAAGAAATGGACACGTGTCATTTGATTATTGGTTCCGGTAGATGTTGCCCTAGTTATTTGTTTTCCATAGAACTCATTCCTATATATATATATATATATATATATATATATATATATATATATATATATATATATATATATATAATACGTGTTAAATATTGATGCACCTTTACTAAAACATTGCAAGTTCGAAAGTTAGAACGTGGGACTTGTTACTTGTTCAAAAATCATACAAAATATCATATAATATCTAACAATATCATAACTAGTGAAAGTCATCATCTGTATCACTATTAAACTTCAAAGTGGTCACACATCATCTTTATCTTATTCTAGATTAAACAGATATTTCTTGGAGTCCAACCTCATCTCTCTCCTGGTCATTATCAACAATTGTCGTTTTGCGTATTCGCAATTAGGACCTTGTTTAGGTTGCTCGGCCTTAGAAACAATTAAAACTCATAAGTATATTTATATTTTAACTATTTTATAAATCAAGGGAATGTAATATAATAATATTATTAAGAGCATAATATTTACCTCTTTTTCTTTTATTGCTACTAGTTCCTATATCCTCTTTACAACATTCATGGATATCCATCCACGAGATAACTTTCGTGAGACATGCATCCTCCTTTTCGGTGATCCATTCATCATCATCTGAATATGAATCCACATAACCGATAAAGAAATACGATCATAGGTTTCTGCTTGTTCTCGTATCTTTTCAAGCCTCGTATTGAGGTTAATATTGTATTTGACAAACACTAAAGCATTTAGCATTTGTTGCTCTAGACAGTTTCTCTTTTTGGAGTGTATATGGTCAAATGTAGTTGAAGCTTCAGGCACTCATTTTCATAGTTCAACCACTGATTGGAAGTTGGAACATCTTTCTCATTGCTTTGGTTGCAAATAAACCAAACATTCCAATGTTTTCATTGAACTTATCAAGTTGTTTATACGTTTTATGCCTATTAGGTCTATCATACATCTTCTCAATAAAGTTGTACAATTCAAGTTTGACTTTATAATCATCCAAAAGTCTCATGAAAATGAATGTTGTTTTCAAATTTAAAATAACATAATTATTAGTTCATTATATATAAAATAATAAGTATTTTTATTTTCATAAAAAGAGGTGAGACCTTGGATTAAAATAGTATCATGCAACATGATGGGCCTTTGGAGTTGCATATCCCATCTCGAGTTGTATATCCCATCTTAGATTAATCTTTTTCCCAAATTGATTGATATCTTGCTTCAATGCCATTAAAGTTTCCTTCATTTGCTTTTTTGCACGATCCATGGCTTTATATATATATATATATATATATATATATATATATATATATATATATATATATATATATATATACCCCTCATAGGTTTTACATATCCATCTATAAGCCTCAATACTTTGTAAATAGGAATTACACAATTCAGACAATATTTTATTGTCTTTCAGAAGTTAACATCAACAAGAATAATATTTTCAACCAACTTCTCGTTATTTGAAGAAGCAAAGTTACATTCGGCCCACTTTTTGAAGCAAACAACTCCTGAATAGGAGTCTTCAACTCATGAAACTTTTTTAAAGTAAGAAATAAGGTAGCAAATTTTGTAACCACCGATCGAGTTAGTTCTTTATCACCGGTAAACCTTTGAAACATTTAAACCTTTGAAACATTGATAAACAAACACCATGTCAATAGATATACACAGTTATTTTCTTTGCTTTTTCTATGGTGTCTATGAAGATTTTACCGTCTCCAATATCTTGTAACATCAAGTCCATTAATTGTGTAGCACACGGTAATCAAAACAAGCGAAGTCTCTTTCCAACAATGCTTCGACTTATGTGTTAGCTGGTACCATATTAGAAAGTAAGAGACCTTGCTTATTTTGATCACAGTGTGCTGCACATTTAATCGACTTGATATTATTAGAGACGGTAAAACCTTCAAGCACACCATAGATAAAACAAAAGAAAGTAACCGTGTACATCTATCAACATGGTGTTTTGCTATTATTGTTTCAAAGGTTTTTCGGTGATCGAGAACTAACTCGAGCGGGAGTTACAAGATTTGCTATCTCATTTCTTGCTTTAAAAAGTTTCATGAGTTCACATCTCATGCTTAATCATATTGTCAAAACATGCTTCTAAAGCATGTCTTTCCTAATAAAATAATCAAGAAACCATATATTGTCTCTTCTTTTATTAACTCACAGCAAAAAGAAGAAAAGACAAAGATCGGTATAAAAATACTTTCAAGTAAGATATAAACTCATAATATAAAAGACAAAAGTCTTTCTAGTCCAAAAAGATATACATTGATTTATATATCATACATTATAATATATTATGGTACTTAGCATTTGAAATTAATATTTTAAAAAATAAATGATTTCCAATTAACTATAAGAGTTATGAATATTTATCAATAATAAAATTCTTATGAATAATCTATTTGTGTCAACTTGTTTTTGGTGTGACTTTTTAGAAGCATATGTTATTAGTAATATCATTCTAAAATGATTCTTGAGCATATAAATCTTTGAAAATATTGTTTGAGTTGTGTAATTCCTATTTATAAAGTATTAAGCGTTATGGATGGAGATGTAAAACTTGCAATGGGGTAATATATATATATATATATATATATATATATATATATATATATATATATATATATATATATATAAAGCCATGAATCATGCAAAAGAGAAAATAAAGAGGCGTTGAAGCAAGATATAAATCCATTTGGGAAAAAGATTGATCTGAAATGGGATATATAATTCTATAAAGCCCCTTGATGTTGATAGATACTATCTTAATCCAATGTTGCACTTCTTTTTATGAAAAAAAAATACTTTTTACTTTATATATAATGAACTAATAATTATGTTATTTTAAATTTTAAAATAATCTTCATTTTGATGAGAACTTTTGTGTTGATGATGAAGTCAAACTTGGACTGTACATCGTTATTGAGAAGATGTATAATAGACAAACAAACATAAAAATTCATGGGCAACTTGATAAGTTAAATGAAAGCATTGGAATGTTTGGTTTATCTAAAACAAAGTAATGAGAAAGAAGATACAACCCGCAAAGCAGTGGTTGGACTATGAAAACAAGTGCCCGAAACTTCAATATCTAGTCGTTCGTGTGCTAAGCCTCATATGTATTGTCACGGGATGTGAGAGAAATTGGAGTACATTTAACCATGTACATTTCAAAGAGAAACCGTTTAGAGCAACAATGGTTAAATGCTTCAGTGTTTGTAAAATACAATATTAACCTTAAATACGTGACTTGAAAATAGACGATATCAAGGAGAAACCTATGATCCTATTTCTTTATCGGATATAGATTCGGATGATGAATAGATCACCGAGACGGAGGATGCGTGTCTATCGGAAGATATCTCAGTGATGGATGTTCATGAATGTCTTAAAAAGAATGTAGGAACTAGTAGCAATAAAAAAAGAGACAAATATTAGGCTATTAATAATAGATATTATAGTATATTACCTTGATCTATAAAATA